TGAACTGAATTGTGTTTTTGTTTTGATGTTGAATAAATATTTTAAATTTAGGGATTGATTATTATGCATGAATGAGACCATTAGTACTTATATTTGATTATACTTAATACATTATTAGGGTTCAATAATAATTAGTAGTACAATTTAATTGTGTATTGTATTATTTATCAATTTTTTTATTAAAATTAATTAATATTTGAAAGGTTTACGTCTCAACGCTTCAAGACTTACACCTTATATAACGTGAATAAAAACGCTTTGCCCTTACTCCTTGCCTTTCAAAACATTGCTTGGCATGCACAATGCAATTGGACTACCTTTGTTGTTCCTTTTTATCGTGAGTTACAAAATAGGGATAATGATCATGTACACAAATACATTGGATGGAAGTATTAGCACTTGCAGTTTGGTCTCCCAAAACATTAAAAACATTTTTAGTAATTGAATATATTTTTGAAGCCTAAGACAGAGTTGAAACTAACAGAGGATTGGAACTAACAGAAGCATTGAGAAAGATTTGGTTTAGCATTGAGAAAATACCCGAAAATTGAAAACTAATTCAATCTTTTTTCTACTCTCGCAGTTCTTTGTTCTTCACCCAGACAACTTATGTACAAAAACTATCAGACCAAAACTTCTCCCACAGCCGTTATTCCATCTTCCCCGACCTGTTTCCCTCTTCGTCGTCAATCCCTGCTCCTTCATTCATAGGAAGCCGCACCATCTCAGAACAGTGTTGTTTTGAACAACTTTGTTGTGTTGGTCAGTGCCTTTCTCTGACTTCGGTAGTTGGAATGGTGGATGGATGGCCCTTTCTGATGACTCATTCACAATGACTGTCCCAACCACAAGAACTTTAAAAAAAATCTTGCTTACAAAATTGAAAGGCAAAGGGGGAGAATTAGATATTATATATTGAAATTGGGTTGTTAATGTGTCGTTACGGAGAAAATTCAAGCAGAGGATCCGGATCCTTTATCCTGATCTTCTTCGGAGTACCAGCAAATTCAACAATATGTTATGTTCCTCTAAGCTTGAATTAGAAACGAAGTCCGCCCTTTCTAAAAGTAAAAGCCA